TCTTTTCATGTGGCTGTAAGTCCTGAAATAGATTTTGCAATTTTAAGGTCATATTGAAATCCTTACAGCAACCACTAAGAAAATAATTCTTAAATTACTCCTTTACACTTAAAAAAAGAAGGAGGATGTGATGGATATACTAAAAAAATTATTTAACACAAAGATAGTACAGGATGAACAGAGGAGCAAGAGAAAAAAAAGACATAAGACAAATGGAAAGTAACAAAAATGGAAAAGTTAAATCCAACAATGACAATAATTACATTAAATGTGAATAGATTAAAAAGTCCAATAAAAAGACAGAGATTAGATGTTTTAAAAAGCAAGATCTAATTTTATGTGGATTGTAGGAGACACTTGAAATTTAAAAATACAAAAATATATTGAAATTTTTAAAATAGAAAAAGATTTTCATTGCAAATAGTATCCATAAGGGAGCTGAAATAACTGTAGCAATATTTGGCAAAGCTGACTTTAAGGCTAAAAATATTACTACAGAGAAAAGATGATATTTCATAATGATAAAAGAATCAATAATCAGAAGGATATAATAATTTAAAACTTAAATGCAGTTAATAACAGAGCCCCAAGATCTATGCAGCCAAACTGACAGGACTGAAATGCGGAAGAGATGATAGGACTATTACAGTTGACTATTTTAAGAACCAATCTCAATAGTTGATAAGAACAACTGGACAGGAAATTAGTAAGTATGAGAAGATCTGAACAACCTTATTGAACAACTTGACCTAACTAACATTTATAGAACACTCTGCTCCCAAACAGCAGAACACACCTTCTTTTCAGGGCCACATGGAATATTTTCAGGAAATAGCATATGTTTGGCCATAAAAATGTCCCAATAAATTTAAAAGGATTGTAATCATTAAATGTAGGTTTAAGGCCACAGTAGAATAAAATTACAAATCAAAACCAGAAAGAAATGTGGGGAAATCTCTAAATATTTGGATATTAGAGAATACATTTCCAAACTTATGGGTCAAAGAAAAAAATCACAAAAGAAATTGGAAAGTACATTGAACTGAATGTAATCTAAATATCAACATTTTGGGGATGTCAATAAAGCAGTGCTTAGTGGGAAATTTATAGCTTTAAACACCCTATATTGCAAAAGAGAAATGTCTCAAATCTGTAGCCTAATCCTCTATCTTAAGAAACTAGTAAAAGAAGAGCAAACTAAACCCGAAGGGAATAGAAAGAATGAAATAATAAAAGATAGAGCCTAAATGAATTAGAAAACAGCAAAACGATAGAGAAAATAAAAACCACAAAAGCTGATTCTTTTTTTAAAAAATCAACCAGTTGACAAATCTTTAGCCACACTGATCAAAAAGAGAGCAAGAATGAGAGAGACAGAGATAGAGAGAGAAGACACTCATTAACAAAATTAGGAGTTAGAGAGGACATCATTTCCTACCTTACAGATATTAGAATTATAAAGAAATACTATGAGTAATTTATGCCAATAAATTAGACAACTTAGATTAAATGGACAGATAGCTAGAAAACACCAATTACTGTAACTGACCCCAAAAGGATTAGAAATCACAGCTCTATTTACAATAACCAAGATATGGAACCAGCCTAAATGTCCTTCGACAGATGACCGGATAAGGAAAATGTGGTTCCATTCATAATGGAATACTACTCAGCTCTGAAAAGTAATGAAATTCTGCCATCTGCAACAACATGGATGAGCTTGGAGAAAATTTTGTTAAGTGAAATAAGCCAGGCACAGAAAGAGAGATGCCACATGTCCTCACTCATAAGTGGGAGCGGAGAGGGGGTGGGGAGGTAGAGAGAGAGAGAAAGAGAGAGAAGAGAAGAGAACAGAACAGAAAGAAGAAAAGAGAAGAGAAGAAAAGACCGCAGTGGGACGTTGGACTTAGAACAGATCTGTGGTTAGTGGAGGTGGGAAAGGGGGAAGGGAGGGTTAGGGAGAAGTTGGGTAAGGGACACAGAGTAATTATGATTTGCAATGATGAACATGCTAATAATATTGATTCAGTAATCACATATTGCACACAGGTGCTGATGGTCAGTTCTGTACCCTATAAATATGTATAGTCAATTATGTTTCCATTAAAAAATACATTTAAGGGCCGGCCCGGTGGCGTGCTACAGTGCGCCGCTTGGGAGCGCAGTGGTGCTCCCGCCGAGGGTTCGGATCCCACATACAGACCGGTTCCCGCTCACTGGCTGAGCGAGGTGCGGGCGCGACACTGCAGGTTGCGATCCCGTTGCCGGTCCCAGTCCGGTACAGGCGCGACACTGAGGGTTGCGATCCGTTGCCGGTCACAAAAAAAAAAAAAAAAAAAAAAAAAAAAAACATTTAAAAAATGTTATGTATGAAAAAAAGGGATTAGAAAATCTTAGGAGAGCTATGAGAAAGATTAAATAAACAATTAAAAGTCTTCCCATAAAGAAAAACCCAGGCCCGATGGCTTCATTGGTGAATCCTCCCAAATATTTAAGGAAGAAATTATACCAGTCCTTCTATAAGTCTCCCAAAATAGAGGAGGAGAGAACACTTTCCAACTAATTCTGTGAGGGCACTATTACTCTAATACCCAAAACCAGACAAAGGCTTCACAGGAAAAGAAAATTTCAGACCAATATAGACACAAAAATCTTCAGCAAAATATAAGCCAACTGTACACCACAAAGAGTGAGTTTTACTGTTTGCAAATTGATTTTAACCAGTTGTTGGAGGAACCCAAGATGGAATGCAGATTGTGACAAATGGATCTAATTGCATTACCAATGAATCACATAATGTTACTGAAGAAGAGCTGAACCAAGTAATTTTGAAAAACTGTTTTTCAAAACACTGATCTAGCCCATAGGTCAGGTGGGCAGGTAAGAAGTAGGAGGGCTGGCATCCCATTCACTCAAAACACAATCAGGAGTCAGCACCTACAGCCGTAAAGTGGTGCCACTTTCCCATTAGCTGGGCCACAGAAAACCTGACCCAGTTAAGTCTGGCTCAATGTGTCACCACTCATCTAAGTCAATTCTTCCTCCATGGTTGATACATGAACATTTGGTAAATAAACAGAAAGTCATATATATTTGTGTGCATGTGTATGGGTATGTGTGTCTGTTTAAGAAAGATGGACAAGGGCTCAATTAAACAAATGGGGGAGGCAGGAAGAGGCAACTACAGCACCTGTGAGCATCCTGCTTGCTCCTTCCTGGGGGAAAATTGGCCCAAAATTTCCCTCTTCTATTGCAAGGGTTCTGACCATTGGGGGTAGCCAGCCTGACAACCTCCAGCCACTCAACTTTTGGGGGCATATCTCGCAGAAAAGAGGATGGGAATGGAACATTGTCTCTCTGGGGAGAGTCAACCAGGTTGGTGGGTCCACAGGAGCTCCGCTGGGCTGGGTGGGTCCCCTGGACTCCTTCAAGAGGAGAGCTGTACTCATGACTGTCTCCTACAATGCCTGTCCAAGGAACCAGCAGCAAAGTACTGGGGAACAGACCCCTGCTGAGCCATGGAAAGGGGACCAATTTCTTTATAGCCAGACCAACCAAGGTGGGGTTTAGGGAGGACCAAGATAAAAAGCCCACAGAGGTGGCCACTCAAGCAGATTATGAGAAGGCCACCGGGCATGCAGAGTTCTGCATCTTCCTGAAGTTATTCCGCTGTGAATGTGTGCTGGGGGATGGAGGGAGAGCTGGTGGAGCAAGCACTGCCGCAGGCAGGGTCAAGCACTGCCGCAGGAAGAACAGAAAGTGCTACAATCGGAGATGGTCTTACCCTTCAAGACCTTGTTGATCCACTGGATCGCAGCTCTCTTCTCTAAGTCCAGGTCTTCAGCAGTGACTTGATATCCTAGCTGGGTTGCTGGGGGCAGGATCAATGGGTTATTTCTTCTGCAGGGCAGCAGCAGACAACTCTTGCGTTTCTGGGGCCTAGAACTGTCAGGTATGGGTGACTGATTCCTCAGGCTTCGTTTCTGCCCTGAGGAAGCATCTACAACCTTTTCATGCTTGATTGTCCTCTGTGGTACCACTGATGCTGAAGAGCTAGCCTGCTGGTCTTCCTCACTGGCTTTCTTTCCAGGCACCTGAGAATGGGATGGGGCTAGGCCGTGGAGCCCAGTGGTGCCTGGACCATTTCTCTTCTGGGGTGATGGGAAACCCTTAGTGGAACTGTAGGAACTGGTGATGGCATTTCGTTTGCTGCATGAGCTCATGAAGGAGGTCTGGGATTTTGTTATCTGGCTATTCACTGAACTCTTGTTACCGAAGTCTGTCTTCAAAGGCCCAGGCCTGGGCACGAAGGAAGAGAGCACTCCATTGACCATCAGGCGCCTAAACGCAGATTGTGCACTCCCACAGCCACTGGAGTCCCTCCTCTGGTCGTCCTGACTTGGGGGGACTGTGCAGCCCTCCTTGAGCTTTGCCAGCCCTTCCCCACTCTCTTCCAGGGTGGTCAGGTCTTTCTCCTCCTTGGCTCTCACTTGACAACTCTTTTCTAGGGCCCTCATCAAGGTCTTCTTTGCATTAGAGTTTGAGAGATGGCCAGCCAATGAAGACCGTATATACACGACTGACTCCTCCAGAGCCAGCCGGAACATCAGCTTGCCCTTAGCAGATGCCATCTTCAGCATCACTGAGGTGCGGAGCATCCTGGAGCTTGAAGCAAACAGCACCGGCTGCTTCTTATAGCCACTACAGGACACTGAGGAAAACGCCCCCAGAAATAAACACCAGGCCTTCTGGATCGGACATCGCCGCCTATGAACTACGGTCAGCCGCCCGCGCTGCTCACGACGAAACGGTGAAGCCACGCGATTCTCAGAGGAGCGCTTCCGAGTCAGCTCCAGGGAATGGGCCGCCGAGTGAACCTGGAAAACTGGGGGAACGTCGCGGGCGGGGTGCGCGGGCCGGAGGCGCTGGGGTCTCTCCCGCTGATCCCCAACGCGCACAGAGGGGGACGGCGGGCGAGGGCGCGCCCGGCCCAGGTAACTCCCCATGCGGGGCGGCTCGGCCGGGTCGGATCCTTCCGGTGGCGTCCGTAGCCCAGAGGGGCTTCCGTTAGCTGCGGGGAGCCCGGCGCCAGGCGCGCACCGTTGGGCGTCAGCCTGTGACGCAGCGTCGGAACCCGGGAGCGAGGAGAGGGCGCGCGCCCGGG